TAGTCTAGCTAGTAGGAGAGACTGTAACAACCTAGTTGTAAGGTAGACTAGTAAACTAGGAGGAGATAAGGACCTTGCCTATAAAGATAAGGAAGGGTAGGATTATATGCCCTGTTGTAGTAACACCTTATACTAGGGTAACCTACTTATAATTGCTAGGTTATAGTTTCTTCTCTTTCCTAGGTTTCTCTAAGCCTATAATAACAAGCTAAGAGGATATCTTGCCTATTATAAAGCTAGACTTATTAAAGTTCTAGGTAGGCTGGCGGATAGGTAGGGTATGCTTTTTTACCTTTTGGCTTATAGCTTCTTAACTAGCAGAGATACGCTTACATAATCTATTATTTAATAGAAGCGCCTAGTATTGTGCCTTCTAATAAAAAAAGAATTAGCTTATTCTACCTAGTATTAGCTAAGTTATTAACACTACCTAGCAAAGTATACCTATTAATAGGTATGCTTGCTAGGTACCCCCCCTTTTTTAACATTTTCTAGCCTCTAGCTTATGCAGTTTAATAGTTATAACAAAACCCCATACTACAGAAATATAGAGGTAGGTTTTCTCTTTCTTTTAAGCCCTATTTTGCTAGAATCCATGTATTATTAACAAAGTTTTGGGGGGTACCCACGAAGGACGTTGGAGTTAGGCTGGCGGAATAGGTATACTCTAACGTCCTTCGTGGGTACCCCCTAAAACCTTATTAATAATACATAGATTCTAGCAAAATAGGGCTTAAAAGAAAGAGAAAAACTACCTCTACATTTCTGTAGTAGAGGGTTTTGTTATAACTATTAAACTGCATAAGCTAGAGGCTAGAAAATGTTAAAAAAGGGGGGGTACCTAGCAAGCATACCTATTAATAGGTATACTTTGCTAGGTAGTGTTAATAACTTAGCTAATACTAGGTAGAATTAGCTAATTCTTTTTTTATTAGAAGGCGCAATACTAGGTGCTTCTATTAAATAATAGATTATGTAAGCGTATCTCTGCTAGTTAAGAAGCTATAAGCCAAAACGTAAAAAAGCATACCCTACCCATCCGCCAGCCTAGTTGGAGTATACCCATTCCGCCAGCCTAGTTCCAGGTGTCCTTATCTATAATACCATACTTCGCCTTTGTTGATTGAACTAGGCTGAACCATGGCTAGATAATCGCTAGGTCCTCGCAGGCAGCTCGCTGGTGATCATACAGACGGCTCCATCGCGTTCGCAGCTCTGGTGTACGCTTAATAAAGTTATCAACCCAGTTCTTGCCTATAGGCTTCCCACCACGCTCTCTTAGCAGTCTATCAGCCATATCTCGTACGTGCACCTTTAAGGGCAGTATTCCACGTAAACTCTCTTCAAGTATACGCTGTATAATTGCTTCCTCTTCTAGCTTTGTAAGGCGTTTTAATTTTAGCTTATAATTGTGTTAAGAGCATGTTCTATTGCGTTGTTGTTATATTATAGTTTAAGGGACCTTATAGACTTTCTTAGTAAGCTGTATACTCTTAATCTGCTCTTTTTAAAGATCTAAGATAGTAAGCTGTACGTCAGCTTCAGTATAGAGTCTCTGGGTTTGGTGTTGTTGAGGCATTACGTGTTGTCGCTGCGCAAGCGTTTTGGTGGGGAGAGTGCGCCGCTCGCTTGGGTGCGCCGCTCGCTTGTGAAGCACGTTAGATAGAGCGAAATTGTAGCTTTAAAATAAGCAAAAAATTATTATTGTAGGCCTACTGCAACGCAATTTAGAGAGCGTTAAAGGTTTGTTTGTTAAAGGTTTGTGTTTTAAAGTTGCGACAGCACACCATAGCAGCTGCAGCTGCGCCAGCACACAATGTATCAGCTGCAGCTGCAACAGCTCACAACATAGCACCTGCTGGTAAGCACACACACAAACACACACAAGACAGCAGCGCAACAGGAGCTTGCAGAACAGGCAGGCCTAGGTGTAAAATTCTTAGTTTACCTACTATTCTTGAATAATATTCTTATATTTTCTAATGTTTAGGCTGCTAGAGCCCTAGCAAAGAATCTTAACTTAGTGTCTTAGCAAGGAATATTAAGCTTAAAACCTTCTATAACGTGGTTTATCACCAAGCCGCCAGGTATCACTAAACTGCCACCCCTTACTAACTTTTTTAGAGTTACTAACTATTACACAACTATTATACTTAACTATAACACTACACTAATACTTATAATTACTACAATTACTCTTTAGAAGTAGCGCTATTATCTACATCTAATATTTCTGCAGTGCAGGTGCGCAAATTGTGGCTAGTCTTGCCACAACGTCTGCAGTGCCTCTCTTTGCGCACCTTCTTCCTAGACTGTTTAGATGCCTTACTACCACCACTATCCTTCTTAGCTATTATATCCTGTACCTTACTAACTATAAGAGCCTCCTCTATCTAGATATACTTTCTTTTACAACCATGCTGCGCTGTTAGAGCCTTAATAGCCTTCTTTATACTATCTATTTCCCTTCTCTGCAACACGTTAGCATATTCTATCTATGTAACCCCTCTAGCAAGTAAGTTAAGTGATTTTATAATAGGAGACAGGGGCGAATCTCTATGTAATTACATGCGCTTACAGATATACAACGTTTGTGACTTAACCTCCTTTGCGCTAGTTAGTGTTTTAGATTCCTATTAGGTAGTCTCTAGTGGTGGTGGTGTTAGCGTGTGAAGGACCACATTAAGCTTTAATAGCACTTGCTCTAGGTTAAAAGGAACTAGTCCTGCGCCTCTAAAGCCTCTGTAGATATTATCTTTTATAATAGCCTTATAATAGGCTGTCTAGAAGCTAGTAAGGAAGAACTCTTTCTTAATTTATATCTTTAAGTATTATAACTAGGCATTAACCTTAATTAAGTACGCCCTCTTTAAGGGGCTAAAATAGGCTATATTAAGCAGCTGTAATAGGTGCGACAAGTGTAGGGGCATATATAAGGTAATAATCTTGTGTTCTGCATAGTATTCCTTAAACTCTGCAGAGTTATAGCTCTTATAGCTATTAATAATAAGTAGATAGTAGGCGCTAATAGTATACTCTTTTATAGACATGTTAAAGTACTTTAACTACTCTAGACTAAGCTTATTTATTATCTAGCTATTCTTACTAGTTATAATTACCTAATTATAATGTAGATTAGGGTACTAGGTTATAATTAGGACCTTACCTTAGAAGATAATAAAGGTTAGGATAGCCTAGCTAGCAGCACAGACACTAATAATAATTATAACCTACTCCTAATTACTAGGCTAGATATTCTTAGGGTTAGATTACTTCTCTAAGCCTGTAAACACTATCTTAGACCTAATTATGCCTATTATAAACCTAGTCTTATTAAAGTTGTAGGTATCTCTATCTAGGATTCTATACTTCTCCCTTACATTCCTAACTAGCTTAAACTAGGGTGTTATAACGCGTGTATCTTTATTTAGGGCTTGTTAATAATTGTATAGTTAGCTATATTAAAGCTTAATTTATTAGGTATATATGTTAAACCTGTTTACCTAGAGCTTGCTAACAGGTCCTTCACTACGTGTAGTAAGCATATTATTAGCTATATCTTGCACTATAGTCTTTGTTGCGCCTATTCCTTGCCTGTCTAGCTTAAGTATACAGTTAACTATTACCTCCTCTTCTACCTTTATTAGCTTCTTTAAATTAGCCTTATAATTACGTTATGCAAGCCCTCCTGCGCGTTAGTCTCTTAATATTAATTAGGGAACACTAAAGGCCTTAGACATATAATTTATACTATTAGGCACAGTAGCTTTTGTAGCTTAGATAGTAAGGTATAGTATACCTTTATTATAAGGTAATTGCGCGTTGTGCTGTAATAGCATTGTAATAATTATTGTAACAGTTACAAAATTGGCAAGGGGTGGCGGTTTGGTGATACCTGGCGGCTCGGTGATAAAACCACGTTACTTAATAACTATTCTATTAATAGGCCTATAATATTAATTAATAGCTTATTTTAAAGAGGAGACTTAGTAGTATATTAATATAATAAAAGTATAGTTTATTAAGCAGAGCTACTATTAAAGCAGGATTAGGAGTTATTGTAGCTCTTGCAGCTGTTAGGACTGTTAGAGCTGTTAGCTTGAAATTGGCTAGACATTAAATGCACATTAAATAACTATTGTAGGCCTACAAGTCCTACTGTTGCCCACAGTACAATGCCACAATTTCCTGATTTCAACAATGGAAAAACTTTTCCCGATGTAGCGAGCATACCCATCCTATGTAGGCTCAATAACTCAGTTAATAGTAGGCTAAACTATGTAATTTTTTAAATAAAAAGCGCAGAACTAGGCGCATCTACCGAAATATACATGACATAAGCGTATCTCTACTAGTTAAGGAGCTAGAAGCAAAAACAAAACAAAAGCCTACCCTACCCATCCGCCATCCTATTAGGGACATTTAGCAATACGTTTAACAGCAGCTCTCTAACAATAAGAAGTTAGTAAAATAGAATAAGGACGCTCCTATTAGGCAAGAGATTAAATATGCACTAATGCAAGGAGCTTGCAGGATGTATGCATGTTTTCTAAGATTCTACAGGGCTAAAGCTAACAATTATGTAGGTTCTAATAGGCTGTGTGTTAGCTCAATACGCTAACAAAGTGTTGTAATTAAGTAATGCTGCGCAAAGCTCTTGCTACTTTACTACAAACCCTAGACTAGACATACAACCACATTCTCTGCGCAATAAGCAACAAATATTTTAAGTATTGTCACGGAGCTTGTGGGACTATACTCAGGTGATCGATAGTATTTAATAAGTGGCTATCTATCCTATCACGAAAGTAAGGTTTATATACATAGGAAATATGTGTGGATCACGTGATCCTAGATAAGCGAGCAGCTGGCTGATTATTGGGCAGCTCGTTAACGAAGAACGGATGAAACGAGCTTCTGGTTAGACCCGGAGGTGCTCGTCCTGGTTTATCCGGGCCGGCAAGCTCCATACCCTCAATTGAGGTGCTCGATTGTGTGACAAGTATGTAATGTATATCCTAAAGTGGCTAATGTTCTCTGCGCGCCTGCTGTTAATAGAGGAGGTTGCAGAAGCTGTCGCTATTAAGGTGGCGCGCGACCTAGTCTTTGACCGCAATAAAGTGCTCAAAGATCTGCTAGAAGCAATGAACATCTGATCTAGTCTAGTCACAGTTACAACAAACAGGCCAGACAGAAAGGAGAGGCCTGCCTAGCAAATTATTGCTCTAGCACACTATTCTGTATAGGAGTATCTTGTGTTAGAGTGGATCAAGCAAGGACAGGCGAAGTAGTTTAGTATGCAAGATTTTAAAAGCCACAACACAACAGTAAAGGGCTCTTTAATGTACCTGCTCTAGTTCTAGTGACTATTGTTAACAGAGGTTCTTAACGCTTCAGCACTTGTAAGGTACGCAGCTAAGCTCTACAACAGCTATCTTTAAAAGACACAAGACTAAATAGAAGGAAGTTAACTTGTAATAATTTTAGTGTTAGACAACAACCCTGCGTATCTTAACAAGATTAAGTTGAAAAATCTAGACACTCCTGGCAAGGACTAAATCTAAGAGAAGGTCTAGAAAGTGTAGCTACGCTGATGTACTACGCAGCACTATACAGCTTAAATATGACCACTAGACTGCTGCTCGACAAAGGCGCCGAGGTCAACGCGCAGGGTGGAGGCTACGGCAACGCACTGCAGGCAGCTTCATCTAGAGGTGGTCGGACCGAGCACATTGACAGTTCATCTCTCAGCTGAGAAACAAGACGATCTGGATGTCTAGGTGATGCTGCGCAAAGCGGACGCAAACGGCGTTATGCTCCAGAGCATCAACCAGCCTCTGTCTGATCTCGGTGTCGATAATGTAGAGCAAGTGCCGTCCGTAGCTATACTCAAGTACCTCGGACCCGAGGGCATGCTGCGTGCATCGAAGCGGGCATTTGACGCAGAGCTTTCATCGGACTGGTGGCGCACACTGTCCCATGAGATTGGCGAGGAAGTGCCGAGGGGTAGTGTTGTGAAGCTTCAGATTGATCTGTGGCCTACTGGGATGATCTTTGATAAGGGTAAGAAGTTGATGCTGAAGATCAGCGGGCATGATATGCGGCTTGCTGATTTTGAGGTGCTGCAAGGGTTGTTTCAGGCCGCTAATGAAGGGAACCATTATGTTCATTTGGGAGGTGGGAGGGAGAGTTATTTGGATGTCCATATCCTGTAGACTACTGTGCCTTGGCAGCTGGGAGCAAGTGCTCTGCGAGATATAAGAAGCGAAATAAAGTTGAAGGATTTAAATAGGTTGGTTAGAACAAGTATAGAAATATGTCAAGGTGCGCAGCTCGCCCCTCCGCGCAGCTCGCTCTACACATACGTTAATAGATACCCCACTCGACATTCACCTTCGTGTTGACTGTCGTTCCAGAGCACTCAAAAACGCCCTTTGCACCAATCCGATCATTACTGGCAAAACGCTTGATGGATTCATTGATGACATCGATGACATCTTGGCCTCCCACCCTGAACTGCACCGCGCCGCCAGTGCCGCCAGTGCGCTTGATGCCGAACGCGCACGAGCCGAACTTGAGGATCTCGCGTTGACCCGTGATGCCGTGCGTCCAATCGGTCGAGGCGTCCTCCTCGATGTTCCGGATGATCTGCTTGCAGTCGTCGACGAGGGGCGACGGGTCGCTGCCTTGGTTCTCAAACGACGAGTCGCCGCAGTGATCCTTGCCGGGGAAGATGTCGCAGGGGTAGTGGTCTGACCCGCCTTTGGAGCCCGTGTGCCAGGCCTGCCACGCGCGGCTGGGGCTGCACACGGGCAGCTGGATGAGGCCCGGTGTCGAGGAGTCGAGGCCGAGCAGCTTCTCGCGGACGTTCTTCTCGTCGGCCATTTCGGTGATGTTGATGATCTTGTTCTCCCTGCCATTGTAGCCGTACGTGGCCAGGGCGCCCTTGATGATGTCGTCCCTTGTCAGCTTGCCAAAGTCGTCGTCCGTGAGAGAGCCGATGCCCTTGGGCGCGGAGAACTTTTGGTTCCGACAGACGGTCTGGCAGGGGCCCATATCGGTGGCTCTCTCGCACTCGCACTCATTGGCGTCACCCTCGGGCGCAACTAAGTAGTACATTCTGTCATTGACACAGGCCGAAGTGGCGTTGGCGGTGTCGTCGTCGACGTACTTGCTCGCCGGGTTGCCGCTGCAGCCTTCTCCCGAATCGAGAATAAACGCGTACTGCTCGGACCGGCGCCACAGGCCGGGGATGGCGTAGGCAAAGAATGTCTTGCGGGCCGTCGCCTCGATGTCTATCGCCCCATTATTACTCTCCGTATCATCGGGGTCTGCACCAGGCAGCATTCTACCGTCTTTGATGATGGAGGTCAGAGCGTCGAGCGAGGCACGCTCGCCGTTAAAGAGTTTCCTGAGGGACAGGGTGGTGCTGTTCATCCAGCCAAATACAGCCTGTGAGGCGTAGTCGGAAAAGTCCTTTTGCTCAGTTGGGGACCATTTGTCTGCCGTGGGAGCCTGAAGCAGATCCTTAGCTAGCGTTGTGCCCTGGCCTATCATGTTCAGCGCCGTATCTTTGGTGTTGTCGAATAGGGTGCTGCCTTCTTTGGCAAAGGCGGGAAGATTCTTTAAGACGCCGTTGAAGAAGGGCGCTGCGCCGCCAAGAGCCCCGATGGTCAGGAAATCGATCATGACGTTCAACCACTGGTTGGTTTCAGGGTCAGGAATCGGCGCGAAGACATTTTCCATTCGTCTGATGGTAGTCTGGACGCCTCCTCTCATGTCGCTGAGACCATCGTAGTAGGTGTGGAACATACGATGGACCTGGATGAGGGACTGCCAGATAACGTAGGCCGCCGGTCCAGAATCGGGGCCGTTGGCGCCATCTGGGCATTCCCATCGCGAATCGCAGTTATCAGCAGTACCTCCAAGAAACTGGCAGCCCATATTGCCGCCAGCGAGGAGAGTCTGCTCCACCGATTTCATGAAGGAGAGGCGGCCCTTATCAGTTCCGGTCCACTTGACGATAATCTCGTTCCATGCAGAAGCGGCGTCGAGCTCCTTCCAACGTTTATCGGGATCGTAATTGTACTGTTTCTTGACATATTCGGACTCACAAGAGCCCTCTCGCCACTTGCCAATAGTAGTACTGTCCTTCTTGGGCTCACCGCCCGCGCTCGCAATAGAGATGAAGGAGTCCCAGTCCTTAGCTGGCTTAGGAGGATCGTTAAACTCTTGCAAATCGCTGGCCCAGTCTGTCGTGCCAGCCATTCCAAGGCTGGCGTACAGCTTCGTGCGGACGGCCTTTGTGCTCTCGCTCATGTAGCCGACCCATTGGTTGTTGTCGTAGACGAGGATGTCACTGTTGCTGCTCGTGTCCAGAAACTGCTTCGTGACGCGGCTGTTCTGACGCTTGCCGTTGGCACTGCCTCGGATAATCTCGTTGATCTCGGCGTCGGCGATGTAGCCTCCAGTGTCGGTACACCTACCGGGCGTGGCGTACGAGGTGAGCCTGTCGCCAGTAAATTTGCAGTTGGGGCCCCAACAGCCCTCTTCGGCCATTTGGAACGAGCGCCCATAGCTGGTGACACCGACAACAATCTTGTTGCCAGGAACGCCAGCCTTAGTAATCATAGCGAGCGATTGTCGGGTCTCAGTAAGATTGACTTGGCTCCGAAGACAGTTGCCAGATTCACAGTACTCCTGAGAGTACTCATTGTGCGCATCCCACTGGCCGTGAAGATCGTAGGTCATGTAAACGATATAGTCAACTACCTTGCTAATCTTTTCAATCGGAAACTGTTTCAGGTACCAGTACGATGCAGGGGCGGCGATGGCTACTGTCTTGCCGGGAAGCAGATTTTTGAGGACGGCAAGAAAAGCGAGATAGTTAGGCCCATCTGCCTCCGTACCGGGGTCAGACAAATTAGGAAGATCTGGTGCACCAGGGTACTCCCAGTCGATGTCCACACCATCAAGCTCGTGCTTGTTGATAAAGTCAGCAATACTCTTCGCGGCCTTTACACGATAAGCAGGCGTGACAGCCTCGCGGAAGATCCGGTACGTAGCATCGTCGTTGGAGAAAGCCCAGCCACCGAAGGAAAGAATCCTTTTAGGTCCTTGGATTCGTGTGAACTCTTGAAACTCGTACGTGGCGAGCGGGTCGCCGACTTCGACCTCAAAGTTTGGAGCTGGGGTGAGGGTGCCGAAACCAAAGTGAAGGTGAGTGTACTTCGACGCGTCAATCTGGAGAGCGTCCTGGTAGAGGCACTTACGGCCCAGACCATAGCCCTGGAAGTAGACAAGCTTAATGCCACCGTTTCCAGTTCCCTTGACAATATCAACACCGCAGTTGGAGATACAGCCATATGTGCCGTTCTTGGCAGTGCCAGGAGGGCCGGTATTAGTGTCAATACAAAAGTCCCTGTTAACTCCGCACTGACCCCAGACGTTGCAGCATGCATTGAGGGGACACGGGTTCATGTCAGCAATGTCGGAGCCATCGGTGGGAGGCTTAGATCCCGGTTTCTGAGGGCCGCACTTGGCGTTCTCGATAGCGTTGGGGAAGGGGGGATCTCCCTCACTGAGACACAAAACGACCTTTGAGAAGAGAGGTTCGCAACCTGAGAATCCCCATGTATTTTTGTTGAACCCCTCGAGCTCCTTTCGGGTCAGACCGTACTCGGCGGCGAGGTTGTCACAGTTGTCGTTGTCCTGAACAGTATACGAAAAGCATTTGCCGTTGACTGGCTTGGGCCGCCTGTCGGGGAGGGTACCGCTGGAGCAGCAAACCCACATCTTGGGCTTGACATCGTTACACTTGAGATCTGAATTGTACTTTGTGAAGTCGTTGGCCGAGATTCCACACATGGCCGCCAGCTCCGGGCAGCCGGTACCAAACTGGGCCTGGATCGACCTGCACTCGGCACGCTCCTGAAGGATGTTTGCATCTCCATGAAGAGGGACATGGGAGTGGGCATGGGAGTGGGCTCTTGCAGATCTTGCCTTCGTGGTAGAGTTGCTTCCCGTGGTAGAGTTGGCCAAGCGGCCATCGATCACGGGAGCGGTATAGGTGACTGTGCCAGGAAAGTCTCGCGACTCGCTGAAAGACAGGCACTTGGCATCAGCCCATGATCGGATCGCGTTCTGGATAGGAGCGAAGGTGGCATTGCTAGTGACGACGACGCCGAAGATGTGAGTGCTGATAGATTTGTCATCGCACAGCTGCATGGCCAAGCTAGGCGAGGTGAGATTGAGTTTATCAAAGTTGTCCTCAAACGTTCGCAGGGCAGACTCGCCGAAGCTCTGGCGCAGTAGGCCCTGGCCGATGTAGACGCCAATGCTGGCTTGGCCAGCGCGTCCGTAGAGGATGAAAGGTCTGTCCGTGGTGTCGGCATGGCCCTTGTCGATATATTCTCGCATTTGCTTAGCAAGAGCAGTGATTCCGGCCACAGCGAGGCCAAATCCCTCTTCGAACGAGCCGAGCTCAAACTTGACTTGGGTAGGCCCGGCCAATTCAGCACTCGAGGAGATCCTGGCCGTGGCCGGTGTGGCCTCCATGTTGTCAAAGTCTGAGCCAAAGGATGTGCAGGCGGCGATGCGATGGCTGGAACCTCTATCGTCGACAGAGTCGTACAGGTTGAAGCCATAGAATACGGTCTCTTTGCACCTCTTAATGAGGTTGAAATTGGGATAGACCGACCACTTGTCGGTATCAGGGCCAGCATCTGAGCATCGGCCGGGGCAAAAGTCCTGAGTCTGGACCAAGCCTGGCAGGACGGTCACCACCGCGGCGAGCGCCACCGTAAGCCGTGGTAGTATCACCATGATGCTATTAAAAAAACGCTGAACGGGACGTTAGCAAATACGAATTGTAAAGAGGTGAGGAGAGGGTAAAGCCATACCTGAATGTATCAATCGGAAAGACACCAGATAGCTGATCAGCGACCGATCTTCGCTTGCTGCTACTGGTGGACTACGCCTGATCTTTATGGAGCGCAACAGACGCCATTTACCAACCTTGGTCACTGGCTGTCTTTCCTTCATGACGGGATCCCATAGCCCCATGTGCCCGTGTGCTAGCCGTGGCAACTGCACTGCCAAGACGTACAGGATCTGCCAAGAACTTCAAGGCTGACATGATATCCCTAGTCAGGGGTATCTGATGTTATTTTCTAGTTTTTCAGTGCAGAGGTGTGGCGAAGAAATAAATAGATTTCTTGGCGTAGGATTTACATCTGTCGCAGCAGACATCATGCCTATTAACCAGCCAACTCAGTGATGCTAATGTATGTACATTTTGCCTCCTTTTTGGCTGCGACAACATCTCTACATCTAATTAGCTGTACCGTGGCCGTCCGAGTGGTGGGGTCGCTTTATTGTCATACGGCTCGCATAATGAGTCCTGGTTCGCAGGATTCAATCGTGAAGATGCCTCGACTGTGAAGAAGCAACTTCATAGAGCATCAAGGTCCTCGAAAAAGACGGTAGCATTTTGCCAAGAAGCAGCATCGCGTGCAGGCGAAGATTCTAGAACTTGACGAGAAAGACACATGGACAAATGTAAGCTAAATTAGTCGATCGAATGATAAAAAGACTGCAGTTCAAAGGATGTGTAAAATCGGTTTAGCCAGGTACAAGATTTAGCCAGGTACAAGATATCAAAACCCCTGCCTGCATCTCTTTACCCCTCACAAATTAGCTAGCCTTATGCAGGGGAATCAAGAGATGGCGCCGTGCTGTACGTAAAGAATGTAATGCAATGGGGCTTGTTACTTTGCCAAGACGAAAAGACGTGGATCGACGCATATGGGCCCAATCAAGCGAGGAAAAGTGCAGCACCAAAAGCCGCGGCGAGAGTAGAAACTCCTGCAACAGCAAATCGGGGATTGGCGAGACCGCTCTTTGGACACTCGCTCGGCTGGTTGAAGCCCCTGCACATCTTTTCGAGGTCGACAGCTGCCATACTCTCGACTGTAGCCTTGTCAATCTTGACTTTGCAGGGGTTCGAGATTGGTGTGGGGGACGAAGAGCCAAGAACCGCACAGGTCTCATGTGTCAAGAGTCCGGTCGCAGCCTCGAGTGTCTTGTCAGTCACGTCGATGCCCACTCCCCTGTTCGGGCAGTCCGCGCTATTGCCGTTGTTGGTGGCGGCCACGAGGTCCACCTTTTGGCCACTCGCTCTGATCTCGAAGTCGACCAAGAAGTTATCTGTGCTGTTGCGCGCCAGGATGACCTCTTGGTGGGTCTGGTTGCACGACGTCCAGTGCAAATTCCAGAGGACGCGAAGCTTGCTCTCGCCTCCAAGCTTGAGAGGGCTCCACAAAAGATAGGGGTCGTGCTCTGAGGCGCTGGTCCAGTCGAACTCGCGGATGCTGTCAACGAGGAGTTCGATATCTCCGGTCATGTTGAGGACCTGGTACCAGATGGAGAGCTTGAGATGCTCAGCCAGCTTGGAGTTCTGAGCGGCGAATACAATGGGGAAGTCATCTGAGAGCGAATACGTGGCGTTGGTACGGGGGAAAACCAGACCGATATCCAGGACACCGGCGGCGCTGGCGACGGCAGAGAGGTAGACAGAGGCACCTACGAGTGCCCATATGGACTGGGAAGCCAGGCGCATGGCAGAAAGCGGACCAGGATGTTGTTTGCGTTTGTGAATTGGCCTTGCTGACAAGAGAATCAATGACCGTCTGACTGCTGTTTGCTGCTTCTGCTACTGCTGCTGCTGCTGCTGCTGCTGCTGTTGCTGCGGTCCTTTTGGGGATGACCTTGCTAGGACGGAATCGGTGACAACAGGTGTGTAAGCGTGAGTTGAAATCACAAGACTTGGTGTCTCCAGGGCGGACTACCTGCCGCTTGGCGCGTCGTGCCGAGAGCCGCTCACCCGCTGAGCTGTTGTGCCAAGAGCCGACCCTTGCAGGAATCTTGCAGGAGGCAGATGCAGCCTAGATTACTGTGTAGAAATGATCTCCCAATCAGGTTAACGCCCGCAGCCCCCTGTTCCACTCGTGTAACCTCCGCCGGGTTGCTTACTATGTGTTACAATCATTTTACCTAGTGCTAGCTCCCGCACTTTTTAGCCAACAGCATAGCTGCGTGGAGCCTGAGAGTGGGGATACAGCGGAGCAGGCAGCTTGTCTCTCACTGAAAGATGCGGCGACGCTAGCACTAGGTAAAATGAGTGAAAGACGATAACACGGTTAAAGTAAACTGCAATAAGAGACGCCGCCGCCAAGCCTGCAAAATAGCAGACTATCGACCGGCTTCATTCCTCACTGTCAGCCAGATGGATCTGGTGGTGTATTCGCAGTTACACTATTCTTATCGCGCAGTTTAGGCGTGGCCTTGGCAGTCGGCCTGGCTTGGAAAATGGATTGATACCATGTTCACCTCGTGGTATTGAGCCTTGGCGATATCATCGTGAGAATTCTGACTTGGATGCTCTGCTCTGCTGCGGCACAGGATTCGGCCCCCAGGGCATGAGGGAAAAGCGCGCGAGGCTGCCATATAAGATGGCCTTCTGGCGATCATCATACTGTTCTGCAGGACATCATCTCCCCCAAACCAGTCACTCTTTTAACCTTGGTTCCTGCTCCACTCCTTTTGGTCTCTTTCTAAAATGCACGCAGCACGTATTCATCTTGTCCTACTCGGCCTTCTCCCAAGCCTGGGCCTGAACCTTGTTTCGGCCAGCAGTTTGAGATCCGTCATCGCCCGCGATGTCACTTGTTACTTTGACATCCAGGCAGAGGCCGGTGAGACCTGCGATAACATGTCCGCCTCCTGGGGCATTTCGGTCCAGGAGTTCACCAAGCTCAACCCAGGCGTGACCTGTCCCAACCTTCAGGCCGGTAAGTCGTACTGCGTCGTCGGCGAGTACACGGACGACGGCGGCCAGACTACTCCCCCTCCTTCGCCTACGCCTATACCTACGATCACGTCCACCAAACCAACAACGCCTCCTACCACTCCACCCACCACCATGCGGACTTCTACCATCTCCAGCACGGCCCCCAACCCCAGTAACTCCCCCGCCATGCCTGGTATCGTAGAAAACTGTGACCGTTTCTACATGATCCAGTCCGGCGACGGTTGTGATTCCATCGCCCAGAAGAACGACATCACCCCTGCTCAGTTCAAGTCCTGGAACACCGAGATCAACGCCTCCTGCTCCAACCTTTGGCTTGATTACTATGTCTGTGTCCACGTTCCGGGCGCTACTACCCCGCCTACCACCACCACCACCGGTCCCTCTCCCAGCAACTCTCCCCTCATGCCTGGTGTCGTAGGAAACTGTAATCGCTTCTACAAGATTCAGTCTGGTGATGGTTGCGATTCTATTGCCCAGAAGAACGGCATCACCCCTGCCCAGCTGAAGTCCTGGAACACCGAGATCGACGCTTCCTGCTCCAACCTCTGGCTTGACTACTACATCTGCACTGGTGTCCCTGGAGCCGCGACCACCACCACCTCTCCACCCTCGCCCAGCAATTCCCCTGCCCTGCCCGGCATCGTGTCTGACTGCAACAAGTGGCACAAGATCAAATCAGGCGATACCTGTGACAATATTGCCGCCAAGAACACCATCACTGTCGCTCAATTCCGTAGCTTCAACACCCAGATTAACTCCAGTACGTACCCACAGCACTCTCCTCGTCTCTCACTCACTCAATCACTCACTCACTGTCGCAGGCTGCAACAACCTCTGGATCGACTACTTTGCTTGCGTTGGAACCCCCACCGCCGCCACGCCCATGCCTGGCATAGCCTCTGGCTGCACCCGCTACTACCAGATTATCTCCGGCGACTCGTGTGATGCGATCGCCTCCAAGGCCGGCATCACCGTCGCCAACTTCCGCAAGTGGAACACGTCTATCAACGCTGGCTGCACAAACCTGTGGCTCGACGCTCTGGTCTGCACCGAGGCGTAGTCGGAGCCCTCTCTTCTAGTTGTAAAGAAAAAACAGGAAGGTAAATCTGTAATGTTAAATTAGTAATTTGGGAGTGAGAATCATTTATCAGATCTATTAAGTTAGCTGTTACAGGCTCTGCATCACTCATAGTTCTGACGGCCGTAGACTGCCTTGGGCTGATACTTGACCGTCATCTTGTAGGCACTGTGGAACATGAGGGTGTTCATGCCCGGCTCAATTCTCAATCCAATGCGCCCTGCTTCCCTCAAAGTGCTATCAAGAGTTTTTCGAACGTCTCCGTATACGATTTAGCCGGATCAGTTTCCTGTGCGCGAGGTACATATCGATCCTGAATCATCAGCAATCCAAGTAAGAAACCGTAGGAGGCTTTTTGTAACGGTTGAGAGGAGAAGCAGATCACGTGATGTTGGCGATGGTCTGGTGCTACTTCCTCATGTTGTTGAGCACCTCTTACCTAGCTGCATCACAAACACGTCATCAAAACAGACCCCGCAGCGAGTCTTGGAGAGAAAAGATACAAGCAGGACAACAACACAGAAGAACACAATACACTCGTTATATACATTTGCCCTTGATACCGCAACAAATACACTTGTTGATCACAGTCTCCGACCGACACTGCTCACGCAGTTACATGGTAGCAACTTATCATGGCCCTTAGAGTAACCCTCTGAGGGTCAGGTGGAGGAGTTGCATCTTCTGACCAAACGTCTACAATAATTAGGTGATCGCAGACGCGAAAAGACTCTCCAGGATGCTCTCTACGTTTGCATGATTTGTGGTTGGGATCTAAAGACCAATTATTGGGAAGAAAGGTGCGGTCTAAATGTCCTGTCTACACTGCACAAGCTTACTTTGAACAGAATGTATCTTGCTTTGCAGGAGTTCGACTTGGCAACTCTATCAAAGTCGCCGGAATGTATCTCATATACCATTCCTGTATCCACTCGACAAAGAAACTGTCGCACGGTTGGGTGTGGTGCTGCAGGTATGGGATATTAAGAAATGTGTGTGTGATGGATGTTGTATTGTTCTGGCATCATAGCGCAGCT